TGGACCCCCAGGCAGAAATCATTTCAGACCCCTTGCTCAGCACCTCTCATAAAAAATCTTTCTCAGCCAGTATTTAATAACACAAAATTTTCCTGGTCACAGGAAGTTTTTCATTTAAAATGATTTTTCAGAAGACCTTGATAAGGGTGGCTGCTTTTTTTCACATAATGGAAGAAATTCCAGTCCCTGTATGTTTCTGCAGTGCACCCTCAGTGAATATTTAGCAGCACATGCTAGAAAATGGCTAAGATTTGTATTTTTCTGCTGCAGCAGACAAAACTCTGTGTCCCCAAGGCAGGCACTGCTGGTTTTCTCTGCTGTCTGAAGCTTCTCTTCGCTTTTGTCATTGAAACAGTTGTTCTGCCTTTGAAAAATACCCTTGTGCCACCACTTGCCTCTGTTCTTATTTTTGCACCAGTATCATATTGGATTAAAATCTAGGGAAGATAAGGCGATGGATGCTTAGAATCCAGGCTTGCTGCACTGGTATTTGGAGCACAAAATTGGAAGCTGAGGAAGGACTAAAACATGGTAATGACCTGGAAAAAAAATAAAGGAGGTAACTTTAGATAGCTTATACTTGAAAAAACCCAGAAGAGTAAGTGCAGTAAATGCAGTTTCCCTGCAGTTCTCAGGCTGCTGGACAAGTCTGGGGTTGGTGTGGATATTTGAGTGCCACACTAAGGGGTTTAATAAAGACCCTGTTTTCTGATGAAATGCTCACAAATATTGGTGAGCATGGCTGAGCATGGCTGATTCAGGGAGCTACTATCCAAAGTGCATCCTTTGTGGCCTGCCCTAATTATCTTGCATTTTCTTCTAAAATGAGGAAATAATTTGGTTAAGTGTTTTCCAGAGCACTTTCAGGCATTAAAACACCCTACAAATGCAAGCTAAGATTAGTCAGGTTGTTGGTAATGAAACTTGAGACTGAAGTGGGAGGGATGCTTGCTCTGCTAATACAGCTTGAAGACATAAATTTAAGCAGTAGGAGGAAAACAGTGGCTCAGACATACTCCCTTTTTAGCAAAAGCCTCTGTGGCCAACTTTAACTGTGTTAAGGCTGTTCCATTTGATGGGTTTATTTATAGCTCTTTCCTCACTGTTAACTCTGCCAGAACTTTTTTCCCACCACTTTCACATGCCTAAAAAAATTGAGGATTTCTCTCCAGGTCTGAGAACCTATTTACTTGAGATGCTGAAAGATGATTTCATTGTGAAGGGTTATCTTGTTAATGCAGTGCAAGATTTCTGGCCTGGATACTGAGGCTCTCCAGAATTTTTAATATGTATTTGAGTGATTGCTAATGAGTAGTTTATTGTTGCTATACAAACCCAGAGGAAGAATTGTTTAAAAGAGGGGAGATGTTTTGCTCTCATAACTGTGTAAAATATGTCCTTGCTTATTTAACAGCAGAGCCAGGAGCTTACCCAGTGCGGTTTTTGATTAGTGTTAATGTGATTAGTGATTGCTGTCAAGGTAAAACCAAAATATAAAATGAGTTGTAATTTGAGGGCAGTGATGAATATTAAATTGTCCTGGAGGAAGGCTTGATATGAAAGTTCTTGAGTGTTTCTGGTGGACAACGATTTCAGTGAGTGTTCATTAAACCTGAGGATTTTCTTTGATGTAAGACACATGTGGATACATCCATCAGGAGGCATTTATTTAATTTTAGCAGGGGTGGAATGTGAAGAGCTGCTGCATGCTTTGCTCCCAAGTCCAGCAAATCAGGGAACTAATGAACTTAAGCCAAGGAAAATAACTTTTGTACTTGGAAATGTGATAATTCCTGACACTTGGTTAAAATGTATTATAGTGTTGGATGGTGGATAAAGTGCAGTCAGCTGTCTGTGTTTTCTTGGATAAATGTGGTGTTAGAACTCCTGGGGGATACTGGACCGTTTTCCCAATAATTGCTTTCTGGAACAGTGTCTCACTCTGAGTGTATTGCACATTTGACAGGTAACAATTTTACCAAAGGGTATGAGTGTAACTCACCTCTTACTTCTTGTTCTTCAGTAATGGCTTGCTTTACTGGTTTTTAGCTCTGTATATTTAAAAACAAAAGAGAAATGCTTTTATCTTTTTTCCTATAAAAATCAGTGCATGTCTCTTTAATTTCTGGTAAAGCATAGCAGGCCTAAAATTGCTTAATAAATCCAGCAGACTTCAGAATTGAATTGGAGTGGGAACAGAGAATAGATTTGAAAAGCAGATCAGGAGACAGCAACCTGAAAGAGGATTTTGATAACCTACAGTAGACAAGTTGTTTGGTTTTTTTTGTCATTTGGAACAAGCTAGATAATAAAAAAATTAGTCTTTCTGTAAACTATGGATTATTTCATGGAACATTTCTTTGCAGTGTTGGTTTAAGAAAGATAAAAAACCTGCATCAGATAATGCTAACCAGCCCTTGCGGCCTTCAGTGGGGCTGGAGTGCTCAAGGTGGTTTAAGCCAGAGCATCCCTCAGATGTCTCAAACCCCCAGTGTGGGCTGGGTACCTGTTTCCCTTTATTCAGTGAAAAACCTCAGAAGTAGCAATGCCAGATGCATTTCAGATCACTTGCAAGCATTTCAGCTTCCAAACACAGATATTTCAAGAGTTGCAGGCTGACTGTCATCCCATTCCATTAGCCCTGGTTAAATGTAAGTAGATATTTTAATATGTCATATTGGAAAATTTAGCCATTTTAATAATTCAGTACTGAGGTTGGCAGAGAAGCAGACATGTTTTCCTAGCTGATACATCATATTAAGATAATTGCAATGAAAGAGCCTGCTTGATCTTATTGAAGTACACTCTGAAACAATGCTCTTGCAGACATCATTCATACTCCTCACCATGAGTGCCAGCACAAGTTTGGGAAGATGTGCTCAGCCCTGGAGCAGGATTTAGCAATGCATTAGCAAGTGGAGGATTTCTCCAGCTCATTCCAAGGGTCACTAATGTTGTACTGTCTGCCAAGTGCCAGGATTTTCTTCCTACAGCGAGAAATTCAGTCCAAGGTTCCTCTAGGTGAGCACCCCTGTTCCTGTGATCAGAATGGTGGATTTTTCTGGACTACTGGCTCTCCTGACTTTGAATTTCTGCTGTAAAAATGTTGGGAGTGCAGAAAGACGTGATGCTCACAAACTATTTGGATTAGGTGGCAGCTGGTGGTGCAGCCAGTATTTGATGATAACCCTGTGCTATTGTTTTAATCTGGGTGCTTTTCTCTTATCTAACTATTTTCCTTGTTTTCCCTTTTCTAGATGAGGGCTATTACCAAGGGGGAAAGTTTCAGTTTGAAACTGAAGTTCCTGATGCCTACAATATGGTGGTAAGTATTTGTCTTTAGTCTCATAGTTGTCATTTTAGATTTTCTTTGCAGGTAACAGGACTTCAGGGGGAACCTGGCATTGGGACTGAGAAAAGATGGTCTATCTTTTAATAAAATATGTTTCTGCAGCTGTCTGGGAGAAGCTCTTGGAAGTGCAGATGAGTCAGACCTGAGTGTCCTCCCTTCTGGCTTAGATTCTGCTCTTTCCTGTTAGTTATTAATGAGACTGGGATTTAATGATTATTCTCATTAAAAAGTTATATATCTAAGAATGAAATAAATGAACCAAAGGAAAAAGTTGACAGTTCTGTAATTCCCCCCCCCCCCCTCCATTCTTCTGCTTTGTTGTCTCACTTTTGATGCTGGTAGTTGAGACTCCTTTCAGAGAGGCTGAAGAATGTGTAGGGAAGGATCCTGGGGAAGAGTTTCAGAGAGGATCTTTGGTTCATCTCAGCTGTGCTGAGCCTAAATTCAGCATTGTCTATGTGTAGTAGTTGCAGTCACAACTAGGTAGTGTTTGCAGTTGTGTGGGTTTGGTTGTGGAAGTTTTAAGTTCCCCTTAACTTTACCAGAGAATTTCATACTATGACAGGGGGTCACCCTTACTAACTTTTTTGTACTTATTTTATTTCCTCTAATTTTTGTACTCCAGTTGCTCACCTAACACTGCTGCAGGAAAGTGCTTGCTGTGCATTAACAGGAGAGCTCAAGTCCAATTTTGAGCTGTTTTTTGATTCTCAGTTCTCATACGTAAAAATTCTCTAGTTTGTTATGGTTCCTTGCCCAGCACTGACAGGAAAATCTACAGCAAATGTTAATAAAATATTTTTAAATTTGAACACCTCTCATGCAATACAAAAATAAAATGCTTTGGAAGAATGCAGGAGGTTGAATGTTTGATTTGGGTCAGGTTATTAACTCACATGTGCTCCCCAATATTGAGTTATGCTGAGGCTGTGGTTTGTCTCCTGCCAGGCAGAATGGACTGAAACAAGTGATGCCTGTTTTCAGGAGAGCTCTGCACACTTGCCAGGGCTTTCAGCCTGCAGGCAGGGTTGGGATATCACACCTCTGCACGGCAAAAGGAGTGGATGTGGAATTGTGATGTAGTGGAGGAGCAGAAAATAAATCAAGAGGAAAAATCTGGAAAACTTTGTACTGTGGCTTTCAACCAAACCACTCCATGCTTCACTCTGTAGTGTTCACTTTCAGCCAGTCTCAGAGTTCTTCAGAAACTGGTGGTGGAAAGTGGTAGGAAATATCTCAGGGCTGGACATTATTTCATCCCCAGGAGCTTGTATCCATATTAGGGCCTCCTGGGGGGAGTTATGTTTTTTACAAACTGTAAGAAAATCTGTAATTGCAGTTGCAGGGTGATTTAGCAGAACGCTTTGGGACTAGCTGGTGTCTAGAGAAAACATTTCAAATAACATTGATTCCAGATTTCTCTCAGAAGCCACATCCCTTCTCCAGGTAAATTTCTTCACTAGTGAAGAGTTGCAGCTACAGAATACTGATCAAATTACATATAGAAATAATGCATAATTTTTAAAAAAATTGTAAGGTCTGTTGGTACACTTGTCCTTTTAGAGTGCAAATTTATTAAGAACTGAAACTTAATTTTAAATGAGTGATCCCAGAGCAGAGGTGGCTGCTTGGAAATGGAGAAGGAAGTGAATGTGGTCACAGCTGAGGCTGGATCTACCTGTGCGTGCTGCTGGCGGTGTCTCAGAGGAAGTAGGAGTTTGAGCAAGGAAATAAATGGATTTTGGGAGCTTTGTTGTGCAGAGTGTCACAGGTGTTCAAATGAAACATCACCCTGAGGAAATCTTCAGATTTGTTAGCCTGGGGAAGGTTCAAAAATGACTTGGAACAAGCTGCAAGGAAAAGTTTTGTCTGAAGATAGATTTTATGGTAGTGCTGCAGTTGTCCTGTATGTCTAAATGAGAAAAAGGAGAGAGAGAAACACCTTTGTCTTACTGTCAGGAGTGGGTTTTTCTAACTTGTAGCAATGAAAATCACTTTGAAAGGCTAAAGGAATTCTTTTTGTTTCCACAGTACGAAAAATGAGGCACCAGTTAATTCGCTGTGAGGATTTGGGGATTTTTTTTTAAAGGAGTTCCTATAAAGTGTTTTTTAGACTCATCAATACATTCCTTTTTTGAAGGTGCATATGGTAGAAATTTCCTCTTTTATCTTGATCTAATGGCATGGAATAAATTCTGCTGCTTTCCCTAGCTTGAGAACTAGACATCATCTTTCAAAACAGTGTGAAAGTGTAGCTAATGAAAAGCTTGCGCTGTTAAAAAAACTTCTAAAGTATTTTGGAGGTCAAAAACTCCTGGACTGTGAGCCACTTAATTTTCAGTAATGCCATGACTGATGTCCCTTGAGTTACTTCACAGAAATAAAATGGAGGAAGGGCAAAACCTGCATTATCAATCCCAGATTTGTTGTGGTGGTCAGTGTTTTTGTTCTAGAACATCTCTTTTAGGTATGTTTTTGGTGTCTCAGTGCCATGCATATTTTCTTACCTTTTCCAAGGAGTGTTAATTAAAAAATTTTCTTAAAAAGGTAATGGGAAATTGGGAACAAAATGAGACAAAACACATGAAACTGTCATGCAAATAAAGCTCTTGGAGTTGTTTTGCCTCTTGATTGAAGACATCATTGGAAAAAGCGGAGGGAGATGGCTCCACATTTATAATATGTGGTTTAATTGAAGTTTTGCAAGGTGCTGGTGTGTGCTGATGGATTCCAAGACACTTCCTATCAGAAATAATCTGCCTGATTGAAAGCTGCAAGTCCTGATGGGGAGAGCAGGGATGAAACAACGTGCTGTTGCTAAGCTACTGAAATTTTTATGTCTCACTCTTTATTTACTTCACAAAACTAGAGCAAAGGAGATTGTACTTTAAAAATCTGAATTTCGGAACACTACTATGAAATTCAGAAATTTGGTGATCTTGCCTGTGGCATTTCAGTGTCTCAGATTCAGCTCTGCATTCCTTTTCAGGAATTCCTTGTGAGCAGGAGGGTCTGCATTTAAAAAGTTATTTATTTGGTGTAGTTGTTACCTTTGTGTCCTCTGCTGTTCTTTAACAAATCCCTGATTTGGACAAGCCTTGGTGAAGGGTGAAGTTTTTGTGGTTTAAATGATTGTCCTAATAGTTAAGTATGAGGAAACTGAATGACTTAGGGTGTTTTCTTTTCCCTGAGGAGTAAATTTTCTTGGCTTTCTTAAAAGTTCTTTTTTTTTTTCTAAGGAAGAGCCTAATACCAGCCTGGTTCTTATGAAGAGTTGAGAAAAGCTAAAAGGGCAGAGAAACCTGGTTTGACTCTTTAGGTTATGTATTGTTGCCCTAAACATACAAATCCAGGCTGTGAATATCAAATATACTTGCCTTTTTCTGTTTTATGAGTTATTAACAGGGTTTTATCTTAAAGATAACACAGTAATTTGTTTTCTCTCCTGGCAGCCTCCAAAGGTAAAATGTTTGACAAGAATCTGGCACCCGAACATTACAGAGACAGGAGAAATCTGCCTAAGGTAGGAACAATATTCTGTTAGAGTTTTTTTAACCTTGGAGGTTTTCTCTGTTTGATAAAATATTGGATGTAACTGTCGTGACAGTATTTTTTCTGCTGATTCTGCATGTAACTTTTAGGAACATAAAAATCTACTGAAAGTCTCATTCTTGCTGTGCTGTAGGGACCATGTAGAGCCTGACTTTTCAGGTTCAGACTTAGTATTTTGTTCTACTTGGGGTAAAAATGTAAACTCCAGCCTAATCAAAATGTAGTTGGGTTTTTTCTTCCTTCTCTCATAAATGAAAAATCCTCAGGCCCAGAGGGAGGTTTTGAGGCTTTACCATTTAATGCCCAAGTGTGTTAAGAGCTTGAAAATGCTTTATACTTCAAAAAGGAGGGAAAAAAGTGTTTGTTAAACTTTGACAGTAATTATTCTTTGTTTGCCATTTCTTAATTATAATATTTAGTAGCCACTGATAAAAGACATGTGCCAGTTATAACAAAGTTGGGGTCAAGTCAGGATATGAAACCTGAAAGCTTTGCTTTGCCAGAGTGAGAGGCTTCTGTTGCTGGGTGGTTTTCCTTGATAGTAAATGTTTCCTCTTCCAAATGAATTTGTGAAACTTTGCAATGTCATCCTCAATACCTGATGGTGAAATTGGCCAGAAACCAAACAGAAACAGAAGTGAGAAGCCTGCCTGTCATTTTCAAGTTAATGGCACACAGAAGAAAAAGCAGATGAAGCAGAAGCAAAGCCCATAAGTGAGATTGAAAGCTGTTCTGAAAATCCAGCATGGTTGTCACTATGTGTAGCAAAACAGTGCTTAAAGAGAAGCTGATTTTCTCCTCTAGATGGAAAATCATTTTTGTGCTGTGTTGAAAGTCCTGGTGAAAATGAAGTTTTTAATTGCCCTTCCTCGGCAAGTCAAGTGTTTGAACCAGGGCACCAAACCAAGCTGAAGCTCCAGCTATAGCACAGTATTTTCTGAGGTTCAATAAAGCCTCACATTCATCAAATCCCAGAGTGGTTTGGTTTGGAAGGGACCTTAAAGCTCATCCCATTCCACGCCCTTCCTTGGACAGGGACAACTTCCACTAGATAGGTTTGCTCCAAGACCCATCCAGCCTGGCCTGGAGCGCTTCCAGGGACGGGACAGCCACAACTTTTCCATCTCTTTAAATGGTTTTAATTATAAGAGATGAATGTGGTGTTTGGAGCATCATTCTAATGAAGTGAAGGCATTTTTTCAGCATCCACATTGAAACAGTTTGGATTGTCAGGTGCCTTAACATACAGACCTTGGAAATGTCTGGCATTAGATGGAAAAACTAAAATAACTTAATTGCTTTATGCCTGTTAGAAAATGCATTCTATGTATAGTGTCTGCAATCAACTTACCCAAGAGTCTTTGCATTAAAATAGCTTCAGTTATTTTTAAAAGCAGAAAAAATATCTTCATCAGTGGTTTCCCCCCACATACCTTGTGCTGTGGTGTGTGTTGGTTTGATAATCATCCCTGGATTAAAACATTCTAAATGATTAAAGCTGTGGTCAGGGGGCAGGAAAAGTGGGGCTTTTCTGTGCTTTATGGACTGCAGTTACCCTGGACCATATTATTAATGATGGATGCTAATTAGGTCTGGCCCACACTGGATATCACCTCTACTGCTCATGTGGATAGAAAAAATTGAGAATATTCCAGGATTGATCTTCAGTCCCTACAGTAAATAGTAGTCACTTAAGCTGCAGGTTGGGTCAGCTGTAGTTTCAGAAGGTTTTACACTTACTGGAATCATGCAGTTCCCACTTCAGGAGATGTTTTTTGAAAGATCTCTTTAGGATGTGTGTATTTAAAAAAAAAAAAAAAAAATCCTCAAAGCTTTCTTCCGTGCAGGAATTACTCCCAGAATAAGATATTTGTTGAACTGAAAGCTGAGCAGCTGACTGGTCACATCAGTGGCTGTTTTGGTTACTAAAAGTTGAAAAGCAGTGATTTTGCAGTCTGCCCATAGGAGCCCAGATACAAGGATTTGTAATCATAGACTGGGAGGTCTCCTTAAATCTGGACAGAGGTTCTGTTTAGGAGCTTAATGATCATTCCCAGTCTGTGGAAGAAAGGTGAAACAAATTCTATCAGCAAATGAGGAGTATTAAGCCAAAGGGACACTTCTGTCTTCACTGCTTTCCTGCCTGAGTACTCTGAGAGGTAAAAGTACCTCTTCAGTCCTGGCTGTGGTATCCCCAGCTGGAGATGTGCCAGGAGATCTCTGAGGCCTTGAGAAGCTGCAGGGCTGTTCATGAGGCTTAGCTCATGCTCAGGTGTTCTGTCACTGAATATTTTTATCATTTCAGTTTGTGTGTTAACTTCCTCCTCGCTTGGAATTTCACAGTGAGGTGTGTGGAGAGGCAAATGGAAGTACTGTCATACAGCTTGATAAGGAACAGACAAAAAGCAAGCTTTCTTTGCTTTTGTCATATGGACACAAACTGCTGCCACAAGATGTTATTTTTAATGTTGCACAAGTGGTAATGGCATATTTTATCTTTCTAAAAGCACAGAAATGAGATGAGCAGCACAGTTAAGGTGGAATGGGCCTGTCCAGGTTGATTATTCTGTTCCTAGGATCTCTGCACTGAACAAGGATTGAATTTCCTTGGATAAAAACTTGCTGTGTTCATTAAATAACTATATAATCTATATGGTTTAGTCATCTACTGTAATTTAAAGATTATTTACTACATGTCACCCTGGAAATTGCTAAAACCTAATAGTTTAAGACTATTTTACTTTAACCCTGTCATTTCAGTAGCAGAAGCTGCTGCTGGTAGTGAATTTTTGTGCTTTGTTGCGTGAATTGGCAGTTTTAGATTACTCCTTACAGAGGAAGGTGTGATTGTGAAATGATGGTTCAAGGAGTTTTTTAGACATTTTCATTCATTTTCTGAGCAAGACTTCAGTTTATTTCTCAGTTGTGCTCTGATCCCCAGTATATCTCCTTATAACTTCTGAAGTTGGATCTGAAAGGTCCAGAAATGCCTGAACACCTCAATGGTTTCTAATTGCAAATACATCAGCAGCTTCACTGGGCTTAATATATACCATAATACACTGGTCATATAGAATTTTTCTACTGGATGTGTGCATATAGGAGATTCTGTATTTTATATATTAATATTCATATTAAAATTCAGGTTATATTTTATAAGGAAGTTTTTCCTCTGGAGCAGACAGACTAAAACTCTTCCACTTACTTTCCTTTACCTATAGGAAGCTGAAGTCCTTTCACAGAATAGAGGATAATCCTCTCTTTGTTAATATCCCTCCCCAAAACACCCTTTTTTGCATTGGTTTGTGCCAGTTTTGGTGAGAGATGGGTCATCCTGCAATGCTGTCTCTTCATCAGAGATTAGCATGTTCTAAAATGCATGAGGGAATAAAAAAAAGAGTTCAATGTTGAGCTTGTCACAAGGGTTTCTGTCACTGTCTGCTGCTGGAGGAAGATAATTCAGGTGTTTTGACAGAGGTTGAGCTCAGATGGGGAGTTCTGTAATGACAGTATGTAGAAGGTAATTTTAGGCAGACATCCCAACTCCTGGGGTTTAAAATTCCATTACCTGGATATAAATAGTACAGGAATTAGATCTTATCTTGCAATTACTTCCTAATGTTTTCTGAGAAACTTTCTGACAAAGGCATTTTAAGCAGAAGTTGCTCTGTATAATATGTGTGTTTTTTTTGTTTTTTTTTTTTTGCAGTTTATTGAGAGAACACTCAATTGATGGCACTGGCTGGGCCCCAACTAGAACCTTAAAGGTACTGTTTCCTTTTGGATGTGTCTATCAAACTAGATACATCTTTAAAAATCCTTTCCTGGCCTTGGAAAGAAACAGCTTTTGTGGTTTGCTCGAGAACAAGTTTTTGAGGTGGGATTTTTGTCTTTCTGCAAGTGTTGGTGGCAACAGTGGAGCAAGTACAGTTCTGATTGTAGAAATGTTGGTAGTTTTAGTGTGGCTGCACAAGTCCTGCTCTGATCAAAGGTTTTGGAGGTTGGTGTGACTCTGAGAACCCACACTCTGTGAGGTGTGCTGCTTTTCACCCAGGCATCCTGTGAACAGCAATCCATAACCCTGGTAATTTCCATGGGATTGGTATTCCTGACAAAATCACTGCAGAGCACTGAGCAGGAATTTATCTTCCTGTTGCTGCTGTTCCCAGGAATGCTGCCAGAATTGTTTCTTCCAGAGCCTTAACAACATTAAGTGCATAAAGGGTACACATCAGGTGTTTGTCTCTTTCAAATACCAAATTGAGAATGACCTTTATCTGATACTTGGTTTGCTTTTTGGCACTGTGAATGAGATCTGTGACTTTCTTCATCTGTCAAATCTCTTCTGAGGAGGTAAAATGAGTGTGTTGTTTTGTGGATTTTCTTAAACAGTCTTTCCCTGTTGTTTTTTTCATCAGTTGGTGTGATTTTGTTTTGCCCTTTGTGTTTCTGTTTCTATCTCAGGTTAAATCAAGGCACTGAGTAATTTATGTTAACTAGTTCTGCTCCTGTCCCTGTGTTTTCATTCAGAGAGAGTTTTTAGGCTACAAGTTTTAAGCTTCAGCCATTAAAAAATTAGTACAAGTGGAAGAGAAACCCAAAAGGAGCTTTTTCTGTGATTGTTGAATTAAAAGATTCAGCAAGAGAAAAGGAAGTAATAGGTAAACTTCAGAAAGAAAAGAATCAAATCAGATGTCCTCCTTGGATTTTTAATTTTTTAACATTGAAGCACCACAGTTGTGAGCTCACTTTTTACAGCTTTTCATCACCAGAAGGGGAACAGTGAGAATTTTCACAGAAGCACAGTGAACAGAAGTCCAGTCTTGGCCTGTTGTGGACTTCAAAGTCAGTATTTCATTTTTCAATAATATGAAGTCAGACTGGTTTTCTGGAGGAATAGCACCCAGAACTGCCCAATAAAACACTCTGAGCTACTCCTAAAGATTTAAATTGAGAAGGGGGCATGTCCTTCTGCCACAAAAACTGTTTCCAAGGGCATTAAAAAAGCCATTCAAATCTAGAATACATATGAGAAGCTTCATGCACAAAGCATGCTGAATGCAGATGGATGGAGCTTGTGTGCTTAACCCTTTAGAAGGCTCAAGTTTTTGATTGTGTCTCATTTCTGAATCCTTGTGGTGGCAGCAGAGCTCTTATGTGAAAAATCCTTCTAAATAAACTGCTGTGACCTTTTTAATATTTTTTTTTTAGTATTAAATGAAGAATAGAAACATGAAGAAACTTTCTGAAATAAAAATGAAAATCTGCTCAATTGTCTGTAAAAGTTACGTGATAAGGTGTATTTTTAACAGTGTGGAGGATTCTTAAGGGGGGGAAAGACCTAACTCAGTTTTGTTTCCCAGCATTTTTTTGCACTTGGTGTCTTCTCATTCATAATTGAATTCTCTTCAGGTTACCAAGTGTTGAGCTTTATCTTTTTTCGCTTCTTTGTGCTTGGGAACACGTTTCCATTGGCCACTGTGAAGAGCAGCCTGTGTGTGAGGGAAGGCACTAATGAATGTGCTATTTCTGAATTCCTGCATTAGATGCTTTTTTAAAATCAGATTCTGAGCAGAGTTGGGCTTTTAGCCTGAAACAGGTTTAAAACATTAACTTGCCAGCCTGTCTATATATACACTTTTTAAATCACTTTTTTTAATTCACAGAAACACTCCAGAATTCCAAACCCTTAGGTAATTTTTGGTAGTGGTTGGTCTCCTGGATTGTGTGAACACTGCTGCAGTGCTTTCCAGCTGATCTTTGTGTCATCATTCAATCCTTTGTAGCTAAACATGAGTTAGCAGCAGGAGCTTATTTACCTTTCAGTCTCCATTCTGGCATGTTCTACATTGTTTTATTGCATATTTTCCTCTCTAAGACAGCTTATTCACAAAGCTGGAGACTGTTGCAGTTACTTTGGGCCCGGCTCACAGTGTCTGAACTTGCTTTTCTCCTGTTTTTAGGTGTGATGGTCAAAATTAATGTTTCCCAGGCATAAAGCAAATAGATGGTTTTAATTCCATTCTGTTCTCAGATTTTATGTCACTGGAAAGACCAGCTTTTAAATACCGCATATGACTTCATGCTGTTGCTGTTAACTCTGCTACTCTGCTTTGTACCCTTCAGTAATTTCAATTTCAACCTCCAGGGTGCTTTAGTAGCTACTGTTAGTCCTCAACTTGCACCTTATTTGCCAGGATTATCACCTGCCTAGCTTTCTCCTTAATATTCCTCAGCTTTGTCCTAAATGTTTGTTTTCATTTTGCTATGAAAACATCTCAGGTGATTGATTTTAATAACTGAACAAGCGGATCTGTATTTTAAATGCCTGACTGGTTTTAAAAGTCAGGCTCCTTCTGCAGTTTCCTCTAAGTAACTGCAACTGGAAATTGGTTCATAAATCAGTGGCTGATTGATGGACCTTAAAAATAATCAAAGCACACTTGGGCAGCTCTGTGGAGGGCTGAGCATATGAACATTAAAACCAGTGTTTAACAATGTATGATGGATGTTCACAGGGAGTATTTGTCCTTTTTCTTCTTTTTGTAGCTGTGTTCTGGTGGAGACCCAGCTGGTCTCAGGGAGCTGGGCTGTTTTCTGGAGGGTTTCCCTTTTTGTTTAGGTGTATGTGCATTTCAGTTTTTCACTGAGATAGTTTGAAGTGCTAGGTTTTGTAATTTTTGTCTTACTGCTGTCAGGAGAGACGGGAGCAGGAGTGGGAAACATCCAAGTAGTCTTAAACTAGGTCTGCAGACAGCTTTTTCATGCCAACCACTGCTTTTTCAGGAATTTCTCTCTCATAACTCCAGATCCTAGGTTAATAAATATCTGTCTGTGATATTAGATTACCTGACCTAAAAGCAATTAAGACTCATTTCCACTAAACTATTGCTACGTGGAGTTGATCTTCAAGAGCCTTGCTTATTTAATTAGTGTTTTAATACTAAATGGCAAGGTTTGGTCCTGTTTGGTTCACTGGTTCTGCTGTTGTCTTCAGGCAGTGGAATGACTTCATTTGGAATTTTCCAAATGTCAGATTAATCTCTTGGAGAAATAAATCAGAGGGTCGTGACTTAATTTTTCCAGTTTACCTCAATGTTTGAGCATCAACCTGAGGAGTTTTGAAAGTACAAAACTTTCACCCATCATCTTAAGGAAAATAGATAGTCTGCTGTCAAATCATCTGTAATTAGTGTAGAGGAGTGTGTTAGACAGACAATAAAATAACTGTCACTGTCTTGAGGATGAAGAGAAAAAAGAAACCTGTATGCTTTATGTTAACATTAATTCTTGTTGCTCAGGCTGTTTTTCTCAGCATTATGATAACATTGTACAGCTATTGATTTATTTAAATCCTGTTTTGGAGTTGGTCTTTTCTAAAAATTGAATAAAAACTTCAGACCCAGTATTTGGAAAGAGAAGCTGTAAAGCACTGAATACAATCTTCTGTGTAGATCTGACATTCAGTTTTTTCTTAAAGTAAGCTTCTGGAAATATTTTTCCAGGGATATATTGTTTTGTATTTTGACTTTATTATAAATTGACTTTAGCAGTTTTGTTAGAAGTGGTTTATTTCTTTCCCCTCCATACATGCCTAGGCTGGTGAAAATATACAACTCAGTGTCTTTTAATAGCTTTTGCTTCAGAAAATATTTGCAAAATTTTAATTTTCTTTTTTTAATGTCCCCTGGCAAAGCCAAATCTTTGGTTTAGATACAGTAGCTGTTATTATAAGCCTCTGAGTCAGGAGAGCTGAGGTACCTCAGTAAGTGTAATTAAACCATACTTGTTCTCCCGAGATTGTTCATTTCTGAATATTCAATTTGTGTCAGCTATAATGCACTGAGCAGACTGGTTTCCAGAGGGTGGTGGCTTCAGTGTTGTAATCACTGCGGTGTAGTTCATTAAGAAGCTATCAGAGAATTCCCCAGGGAATAATTTATACTGGATTATCCACTTGCCCTGAAGTTACCACGGGGACAAATGTCAGGAGTCAGTGACAAAGCGAGGGACTTGAGAGGAGTGCTCCTGCATACTTGGCAGTTCACACTGCGAGAGGAACAGGCTGGAATTGTTCCTGTTTTCTTTCTCCTCCTATATTTAAGTACAAAAGAAATGGTTTTCCAGCCTTCCTCCTTGTTTTGTGTTTGCTAACTGGAGCAGTTTATGCCTTTTAAGTTACCCAAAGTCCTGTAGGGAGCTGCTGTTGTGTTTGGGTGGGAAGCACAGGCTGGGATGGCAGGCACATGACAACTGGGGTGGCTAAAGAAAGGTGGCATTCACTTTATCACCTTATTCTGGGTGGAAACAATGTTTTCCAACTTTTGCAAGATTAGAGAGGAGCAGGAGAGGAAATATAAAAGGAGATTTTATTTGGGAGAAGGCAGTTTAGGAGGGAAGAAATGTTTTCATAAGCTGAGAAGTGCCTAGGTCTCTGGAAGGAAAACTTTTCTTTTGATCCCCAGGAACAGTGATAAATTTGGTGGAGTGGGATGAAGTGTGCGTGGCTTTTTAGGCTGCAGTAGAGAGAGGAAGAAGCTGGGCTTGTTTTTTAGAGATAGTGGAAGAAGGGGAAGAGGAAAACCACCTTGAGGTGGTGTCTAGGCAGACAAGACAGCAGAGAGCTACCGCAGGACTCGGCCATGCAAGCTGGACTAGAGGAAGCTGAGCTTTGGAGTGGCAGTTCCAGCCCTTCTAAAAACAAACCAAAAAAATGTGCTTCAGACATGTGCTTGTATAAATGGACTGCTGCTCCTTTTGTTCATCTGACTGGGTTAAATTGCAATTTAATTGTTTAAAAAATTGTTCAGCAATGAGCTTTGATTTGGTCAGTCTGTTAGATCAGAAATGCTTCTTGGATCTCTTAAGGGATTTTCTTTGGTTGGAAGTTTGTTAGGTGTTTTTGTCCTGTTTGCTTTCTTCTTAAATGAATGTATTAAATACACTTTGCCTGTTAAAGGAAAATCTTAATTTGCAATTTCTGTGTTTGTTCTCTCTCCAGAAATGCTTGTGCTTGTCTTTCTGAAACCCTTGTCTGTGGCATGGTTTCAGTGGCAATGCTTTTGTGAAGTGGTTCTGAGAACTGTCACTTGGAAAGATCAGTGACTGAGTTAGGATCTCCTAGAAATGTAAAGTCTTGAGACTCCCTGGCCTCAGGAGAGTCTGTTTCAAAAGCTGCATTGAGGATTTTGAGTCACTGCTCTTGAACTTCAGACACTGCTGCAGCAGCAGGTTTTTTCTCCTCATTTGGCACGCCATAAATAAATCTGTGGGCAGGGGTTTAGTGTAACTTTTCACTCAGATGCAGCACAAAAATAGTCCAGAATGAAAAGGGACAATTATAAAGGAGTGTTTACAACAGTCTGTTGATCTTCTGACTTGCTTGTGTTGACTTCCCCATGCTCCAGCCCAGAATGGTGACAGTGCCATGGAGCAGAGTGTGCTTCCCTCATTATTCCCTGTTCCACTTACGCACTGTGGATTTAGCCAGGTACTGCTGTGCTTGGGAACCCCAGCTCTTGATTTCAAATAGCATCATTGCCTCCTCTGAACTGAGAGAATAGATGTGAATGAAACCCACTTGCATATCCAGGCCCACCTTGGGACTCCTGAAGGCATCTGACCTGTGGTGACATCTCAGCTGCTGGGAAACCTCTGGGATACCGAACAGGGAACAGCCTGGGCACGGCTGGAGCAGTAACCACATAAAGCAGCTCGAGGAATTTGGCAGCCCTGACTGCAGGTCCAGCCTGGGCAGGTGCAAAAAGCAGGTTTGGTACAAAAGCAGAGGCTTTCAGCTTTGCTCTGTGGCTGTCCCTCAGCAGTGGTGCCCTTGTCCTCTCTAACTTTGATGTTAAACACAGAGAAACAATCGGATGAAAAGCAGCTTTGTAAAGGAACCAGCTTTGTCAGGTGTAGATGTCTGATCTTGTGCAGGTAGGGTCTCACTGAGGTGCAGCACTGTCAAGGTGTGCACCATTACCATTTTCAGCTGCCACCTGCCCTGCTCCTCCCTGTGAAGATAACCTTTAAAAATTCCTGCACACAGGCTTAACTTTGTTTTCAGACTATGTAAGCCACAAGTTCAGTAAATATTTGAAGACAAGCCTGATGCTTTATTACACTGAAGGAAAACAGAAGCTTTTGAGCTGCTAAGTCTGACGAGATCTTCAGTGACTGGCACATCTTTTAGTTCCTCAGGAAAACCCAAAGCAAGCATCTAGGCCAGTGCTTACCTGCATGCAGCCAGCAGCTCTGCTGAAGTCAGTAATGCAGAGTGATTATTTCTACAATTCAGTAATGCTGAGTTTCTCAGACACCAAATACTTCACTTTTTGTTCATCTGTTCCATCCCACTTCCCTTTCTCAATATCCTAGATTTAAATCCAGTCTAGCCTCAAACTCATTACAAAAAGTAATTGACCTCTGGTAGTAATTTAACATTATTTTTTTATGGAGCCATGCAAGGGTATAAAATGAATCCAGCAAATCATAAAATTTGAATAGATGGAAACATCAAAAATGGTATGATAACTTTCATAGGTAAATTATTAAGTAATAATAATAATAATCCTGTTATGCTTTTTGGTGTCTAGAATGGCAGTGGAAATGTTCAGCATTCTGACAGCTTGTGCCTTACAAAGGTTTTTGTTGGTTTTTTTTTGGTTTGGTGCCTCCTTTTTTGTTCTTTAATAGAACTCTATGAAACCATCCTGAATGAGTCAAGCACCCCAAAGCATTAAAACCAGAGTTCAGCAAATAAGAATTTGGGAGCAACTGATTATATAATGGGAAAATATGACATCACATCTCCTTTTTGAGCTGTAGCATTTATTTGTGTGAGGTATTGGAGCTCCTACTGGACAAGGAGGAGTTCTGTGTGGGGACAGCTCTCTCTGGTGTCTGGAGAGGTTCTGGCACACCATGGGTTCAGCACTGCTCAGTGTAAGGAGAAGATGAGCTCTTGAGGATTTTAGAAGGCACTGACTTGCTCCTGGTTGTTCCTTTTTAGCCATGCTGGTGCTTGAACAGCTGTGAACAGTTTGTGAGCCTGGGAATGCAGGTTTGGCATTCAGGATTTAGAAATGGCCAGACCGCAGAGTATTCACGTGACCTTGTACCCTTTCAGGATGGTTTTCATGCTCAGTATTGGGATTCTGCATCACCCTCTGCAACTGCAGCCTTCTGTCTCATAGTGTAGGTAGAAGGCAACTAAAAATTTTGGGTTTTTTTCTGCAACTCTTCCTCCCTGAAGGACAATACAGCCCTGGAGGACAGCAGTGGAATGGGCTCCTGACCTCTGGGGCCAGAGCATCTGCTGGGGCAGAGGGCCCAGAGCTGCTGAGCACCCTCTGATGCCTGGATGTGGGAGAATCAAGTGGAAATTGAGACCTTCCTGCCTTTTGCTGCTCTCCAGGCTCTCCATGCCAATAAATCTTCCTTTAATCTGTGACTTGACAGATTTATTGTACTAATAATTTATCACTAGGATTAATACACATTCCCTTAATACCATGCTGTGCTGACCTCTGCTGTGCCTGGTTTCTGTACCAACTTAAATAAAGTGTAAAACAATGATTTCCATCCATTATTTGAAATAGTTCATTTTCTCCTGCTTGCCAGGGAGCAGGCAAAGTTGTTGTTTGGGAGTGAGGATGACTGCTCAGCACTAGAGTCTTAAAATTTACAGTTAACTGTAATTAAATGTCTGGCTCACCCCTTTTGTGCAGTTTGTCTGTGCTGCCACTGAAGGTGATGAGCACATTTGAAAGTTGCTGTCTTTGCCACACTTGAGAAGGTGCTGAGGATGGAAACGTTGACAGTGCCAGCCCTGCTGGGCAGATTGATGTTTTAAAAGCAGATAAAACTGAGTGGGTTGTTTGTGCAAGATCAGAGGGAAATTGGATCGTGAGAGGCTGTTGGCTGCGTAATGCTGACATCGTGTCTTGTTCATTAGGGCATAATTGGACAGTGTCGTTAAGGGATATGGATTTCTCTGGTCCACACTCTCAGCACAGGGCCCAGAACAGGAAACAGGCTCAAATACACTCATTTATTGAAGTTCTTTGCTGTGCATAGGAAGTTCTTTACTTTGAGGCCTTATCTTTATTGTAAAAGGTGTGTTTTAGCTGTGGAATGACTTGAGACATATGCTTATGTAAGAGCAGTATTCCTCTGTACTCCTACTACAGCTCACCCTCTTTTCTCTGCTGTTTTGACAGTTTCATGTATTTGTTTGACCCCTTTTTCATTTTAAGAATAGATTGCTGAATGAACTTCCATTACCCACCCTTTAAACTAAGCAGTGCAGTTTTTAGTTGGGGGCACATCCCAAGGCATCACTCCTTTCCTTGAATGGAGGAGCAACGGGAACACATGCAGGAAGATCTGACCTTATATTTGAATATGCAGTATTTGGTTTTTGCTGGCTTCTAAATATCAAGTGGCCATGAAATGGGAAAGCTTTTTCAACATTTTGATTCAAACTAGGAAAACATTACTTGTAATCTAGATTTTTTTTCCAAGTTATTTCATGGATTAACAGAAAAATAAAGTTAGTGAACATGTTCAAAACTCCTGAAATGCATGTCTAACTAATTGTGTTTTTCCTTTGCAGGATATTGTCTGGGGGTTAAACTCTTTATTTACTGTAAGTAAAGGAATATTTTGCATGTCCACTTTCCTTTTTCCTGCCTGATTTAGTTTCAGCATCTGTCTCTGAAAGTTTAGGTCTTTATTTCCCTTGGCTTCAGTGGGTGTTCAGTGGGACAAGTATGAAATCAGATTGTGCTTTTGCTTGTGGAACTTATCCAGACTGTCTGAAATGCCAGCTTTTTGTAAATGGATTTTACTTAGGTTAGAAATATTAGGGATGTTCTGATAACAAATTTGGGATCTCCAACACAGTATGAAACTCCTTCTGATGATGTGCAGGAGACAGAAATTTATTCTTCTCTGAGAAGGAATTGTGTTGGTGTTAGTCTTTTTAAAAAATGCTCTTTAGGAATTAAAGACTGCCCTGCAGTCTCATTCCTTGTTTGAACACTTATATTCCTATTCAGGGGCTTTGCATAAAACCTGACTTGTCAGAGAATTTATGTGATTTTATTCAGGGATCCCTTTTCCTCCCCTTTTTATCAAGATTGATGGGAGTAAGGAACCTGTAATTGGAGGAGCACCTTGGAAATGGAGGAGAGGGCAGGAAGCTGCAAGAGGCAGGCAGAATGCAACAACTGCTTTTGCCCTAAAAGTGGAGAGAGGCTAAGTCTTTACAAAAGTCACCTTTTTTAGGGATTCCTTTCCTTAGCTATTGCTACTGGGTGGGAAGGTCAGGAGAAGTCAAAGAGCATCACTGACTTGGTGGCTACATTTGTTACCCCTCTGGAGAGACCAACCCCAGCCACTCCAGGGTGTAGAAGGAAGCTTGGATTTCCTGGCATCCAAAGTCTTGGTTGTTTTTTTTCAACAACTTCTTCAGTAAATTGATGTAAAACCTTGGAGAGCATTTGCCATTCCAGCAAAAGTGAATTGCATTTCATAGCCAGTCTCCCTGTGCATGTCAAGTAAGTAGAAGGAAACAAAATCCTCAGGGGCAGAGCTGCACATAAAAATATTAGGCAGAGAGCTGCAGAAAGGGGTGGTCATGCCTAGGAGACCACAGGGATTTGTCATGGCTGGTAAGAGCTGTGCTTCCCTCTTGGGTTTTCCTCACACCCAGCTTCTTGTAAATAATTAGGCTTTGAAAAGCTGGCACTGAGATCACACTGGTCTGGAAGAATCATAGGGGGTTTCATTGAAGAAAGTGAGTGAAAATGAGGTGGGTTGGTGTCCTGATAGGAGTGAAACATGGGGTTTGCTGCTTGAAGATGAGTTGGGGCTGGCAGGAGCTTTTCACATTGTGGGATTTTCACTTAGACTGGGGAAAGATCTGGGCTGTAGACAGAGCAGGGGCCTTGTGATTCATTGTTACTTTTAATGATAATTCCTCTTCTCCATTGTTTTTAACCCTAGACCCTTTCTCCTTCCAAAGTTAGTATTTGAGATGAAACTGAGAGGCCTGAGGTTTGTTGTGACTATTTCTGCTCCCTGGCCCCACTTGTCCTTAGTTCTCTGGGTCTTTGCACTCCTTTTCTTCTAGGTTTTGTTTTTCCCAGAGCAATAAAACTTCCCTGTCAGGCTATTGGTTACATAGCTTCATCACAGAGGAAATTAAATTGCTTTTCTATGGAGGTGGAATTAAGGAAACTCCTGCAAAAAGTGTGCTGATAAAGTAGAAAGTTTTTTAAGGGTTTACTTTGCCCTCTAACAAAATCCCACAGGAGTTTTGGAAAAATCCTGGAAGTTTGACTGTTCCTCCAAAATTGAGTTTTCCAATAGAAATGCATTGACTTCCAGGGAGAAGTGCCATGTGGCTGTGTGTGGCCCACACCAGAAGGGCTTAAATGCCCTGGTGCCGTTGCCATTTAATTGTCCTGTGATTTGGTTTCCAATTACCAAACTAATTTGCATTTACCTTTGGCAGGGACACCACCAAGGCAGTGATTAAATGGCACTGCCCTCGCTGCCCTGTTTGCTTTGTTCCATTATCTTGTTCGTGAGGGCTTTGGGCTCCTTGTGATGCAGTGAGTGGGAGCCCTTCAATGTTCTCTCTGTTTCTTTTCCAGGATCTTTTGAATTTTGACGATCCTTTGAATATTGAGGCTGCAGAGCATCATTTGCGTGACAAGGTGAGTCAGTGGTTTATTTCAGGCAGGTTGTTCCTAAACAAACACACATTCTGTACTCAGCAGTTCCCAGCCAGTCCTTTTAGAGGGGTGGAGCTGCTGCTTGAGGCAGTCGAGTGACTCATTATATCAGCAACCAATTATTCAAACAAAAGTGCTCTCTCTGGGAAAGTAAACTCCACAGCACTGTTAGTCACCATATGCTGGGGGTTGTGGGCTATAATGTGGTCACAGCCCCAAAATAGATGATCTTTTCCTTCTCATGTCTGAGATTTCCCCTGAAGTTTTGTATGTTCTGTGTAACAAACTGATGATGAGTTGATTTGACATGGCGAAATGAGTGAACTTTGCCTTAGAAGACATCTGCAGAGATCTCTTTCTCTCTTTCCAAAGTCAGGTCTTTTATTCAGAGGTGCATGTATTTATAAAGCCAGGAGAAATCTGGGCAAGTTTAAAGAACAGGAGCGTGGAAACTTCTAATTTCTTTTTACTGATCCTAATATTCATGTGTGTATTATGGACTGGGCAAAGCAGAACATGGCCTAGTGAACATAAATGAGATGTACTGCTCACATCTGAGCAAAAGTGCCAACTTCTTTGTATCCATCTCCAAAATTCCATCATGTTACACTACACAGATGTATTCCTCAAGCACATGAAACTCACACTTGGTATTTTCAAGACCTCTTGTTCTAATTTAAACTCTTCCAACACTTTTGTTGAAGTTAACCTTTCAGATTGAAGAAAGTTTCCAGGTAAGCAAGTGTTGATTGGAAGAGTTCATTGAAAATACAGTCAGGCAGCGTACCTAATTTATCTCATTTTTTCGAGAGGAAATACCAGGATTGCAAGTTCATCTTTCCAGCTGTTTTTTGATTAATGAGATCTTGTAGCTATTCTGGTATTCATCCCTGTTTGCAGGGCTGAGATTAGAATATAAAGCAAAGCTGGAAAAAATTGTCTACAGACCTGCTCTGGAAGAGAGGGGTCTCTGTGGTTTGGTTTTGTCATAGAATCACAGAATAGTTTGGGTTGGAAGGCACCTTAAAGCCCATCCCCTTCCACCTCCTGTCCCTGGGTGGTTAAAATTGGTGTCCTGGACCTCTCAGCCTCATTGAGAGATTGGAAATCTTGGGAATCCACAGAAAGGTAAATGCTACCTGATTTAAAGACACACCTCCCTCAAAACCAGAAGTGAGCCCTCAAAAATAGGTACTGCTACACTAACTGCATGGGGGTTGTTTGAAGAAGTGAAAAGTAAATTGAGCGTTTTTTTGACAGTCTTCTAAATCACAGTTTTTTGGGAACAAACATTTTTTTGTTTATTACACTCCTAACACTGTCATAAGCATCTGTAAAATTCATATTATGCCATTTAATTTTTTTTTTTTTTGAGCTTATCTGAATTTAATGTAGGCATTTCATTGACAGTGACAGCACCAGGTAGGGCTGGACTCTCTGTAGTGTGTTTTGTGGTGACATCAAAAAATCCCAGTGCTGCCTTTGTAGAGAGAATAAATAATGCAAAGGAGAGAAAAAACTGCAGTTGCAGCCTGAGTTGTTTTTTGCTTCCCCCTGGCAGAGATGTCATTTTCCATAAACACTTTATTGTGGAGTCAGACTGCTGTGGTCCCATCCTGGCTCTTAAGAAATACTTGCAGTGCCCTATAGGATTAATATGGGAATGCTAATTAATGCTAATTAATTAATTACATGTGTAATATGATTCCACAGGTAGCGTACATGTAATACATGCTTGCATGTTCAGTATCTGTATGAGCAGATGTGCAAATCCATCGACACAGGAACAGTTCTGTACACAAACATCTGTGTCCAGCAGGGAATCCTGGGAGTGTGTGCTGTGTAACAGCCAAACCACTGCACCTCAGGCTGTCTCCTGTGGTTCTCCCAGGGGAGATGACTCAGAATCTCATTGATATCCCTTCAGATTTGAAATCCTGGCATTCCTTTGCTGACCTCCCAGGCTGAGCCTGGCTGCCCGAGAGGGTAACAGCTAATCGCAGGCCTTGTCTGTGGTTATTGAGAGCTGAGGCTGGGGTTTGGTCAGCTCTAGGTCATCACAAATGACTCCTGCCTTGCAGATGCTGGAAAAAGTCACGTCAGAGATAGCAAATCCCTGTTGCTGATTCTTGGGAAACAGCTGTGCTGGGAATGTTTGTGTTAGATCAGGCTGGAAGGGGCAGTTATGATCCCTTCCTCTGTAAGGCACCTCTCCACCTTTCCATTAAATCTGTGGTCTATAACTGAGCACGTAGTTGTGGCTTTTGGAAAAGCAGCCTTGTTCTAAGATGTAAAATGATACAAAATTCAGAGCTCAAGTTCTATAAAGTGATTGCTCTATTAACATGTTTTATCTGAAATATGTGTTAGTTCACCATCAGCTTCCAGCCCTCCAGGACTTCCTTTAGCTCCAGGAAGGAGCTGTCAGTTACTGAGCTTGTTCCTTTGCAGCTTCCTTCAGCCAGTGAGCATCAAGTAACTTTTACAAGCTATTTTAAAAATTAAAGATGTTTGTTTATGCAGCTTTACTCATTTTACAGTTCTCCCACACACACCTTGCTAGGTGCCAGTAATTTTTTAGCAGGCTGCACAACAAATTTGGGCAGATTTACCAACACCTGCTTTCCCAAATGCTGGACATCCTGGTGCCCACATTGCTCTGCAGTTGGGTCACAGTCACTGGAAGATAAGCAAGCATCCTCTCTTGGTGTAGAGCTCAATAAATCAGAATAAAAAGATGATTGATGTCTCTATGTAAACTAAGCAAGGAGTTGCCCAACATTCAGTCTTCTCACACTGATACAGTCTCAGTGGTTTGGTGGTATGAGTTTTCTTGCTGAATTTAAAGAAGCTCTTACTAATTAGTGAGCTTGGACCACTCTGCATTGAGCACAGAAGTCTGTCAGTAGTTTCGGATAGCCAGAGCCATTAATTGTCAATCAAGTCAATTCCATGGATTCTAAAGCAATGAGCAAGTGTTTAAGTTTTAATGACTACTCACTTAAAAATTATGTGAGCTGAAAACTGTAGGATTTGCTGGTTTTTATACAGCAAACACATAGAGCTATACTGCTCTGCTCTGTGGCAGCCAGGTAGGCTGAATACTCAAACACCAGAGTTAGAGCTTGGCAGTGGAAAACCAAGTGAGCTTAGTGCTTCAGGACTTGTGTATTCCTCATCCAGAGGTGCTGTGGGTGCTGTGTCTGTGATTTGTTAGCTGAAATCTAGGAAATACTTTCCATATGTCCATCTGTCATGGCTGCTTTGGGAACTGCCTCAGGACATTGCAGTTCTTTGCCAGGATCCTTAAAAGCCCTTACATTTCCTAGTGGTGTTTACTTCTGCCAAAAAACATTTCAAAGCCATTTGTACAACACACAACAGAAGATTCATTGCACACTTCGTGTGGCTTAAAGTAGAAATGTTTTTCCAAGTATTCCTTAGATTTCTTCCTTGCCCAGGCCTGCTGTGCCAAGAACCCTAATGCTGTGTCCTGTTTGAATTGTATTTACCCTGTATTTGGTGCAATTCAAGCAAACTTTTGTCATCCTGCAGATTAGCAAACATTCATTTACTTTTCCATCCTTCTGATCTGGAGTTGTTTCAGTAGTGGGAGAAGCTGAGTTACATCTCCCTATGTTGTTTCCCTGCACAATCTTTCCATCTTAGTGAAACCCATCTGTCAGCATTCAGTGCTCTGTGCTGTGTCCTTGTGAAGGACTAAGTCCCTTCCACTTGGCAGGGAATTTTTCTTCCTCCTTGTGAAAATCCAATTTATCATATTTACCTGCAGCTCTGAAGTGCCAGAGCTGAGAAATGTAATGGGAATAGGTGTGTGTTTGCCAAGGATCCACTTTAAACACAAGTGTTTTTTACTTAATTCAGTGAGCCCTGATTTTATTTGCATCCTCTTTGGAAAGCAGCATTTAATGCTCAATTATTTTGCATAGGTTTGCATGGAGGAGTTTGGCTCTGGATTGACTTCTGCAATTCTTTCTTTAATTTTTAAATTTTAATTAAAGCTTTCTCTAGGTGACAAAATAAGGTTTTTATTTCAGGATTGTTTCTGTGGAGATGGATTTATGAAGTTCATGGTGTTAGGGAATCCGAAGCGGTCTCTTCAGGTTTCCTCTTAGGATTGTAATTGCCCTACACATTCTCAGTTCTTTAGGGAACTTGGCTTAAAAAACCCAGTCCTTCCTGTCAGTGGCTTGTGATCTTTGCAGGTTGTTCTAATGAGTCTTGTGGGATGAAGGTTTTCCTAAAGTTACTTGAGGGACTGTCATGTTGTCCTCACTAGTGAGAGCACTAGTCTAATTCCATGAGAAATTCCACTGGTAGGAACTGTTGCTGAGCATGGATTTCACTGAAGAATTTTTATAACCTTTCATAATTGTAGGCAGTTTTTTAGAGTCCTTAAACAGCAAACAGTTCTGAATTTTTGCAGAAGAATCTTAATTTCTCAAGCATTGCCCAGAGAAGCTGCGGCTGCCCCATCCCTGGAAGTGTCCGAGGCCAGGTTGGACGGGGTTTGAAGCAAGCTGGGGAAGTAGAAAGTGTCCCTGCCCATGGCAGGGGGTGGAATGGGATGAGCCTCTAACCCAAATCAGCACCTGACAAAGTGTCAGTGCCTGGGCTAGATACCTCCTGAGAACAGGTGAGCCATGGGAAAAGATTGTCAGCAAGTAAGTAATGAAAGTAAGAAACAAATACAGATTTTCTGAGTTGAATTTCCCCCCAGATTTTCCATTTTCATAAAAAACTGTCATTGCCCAGCACAGCCTCCTCAGCTCTGGAGCCACCAGAAACCAGCAGCAGGTTGGGATTGTAAATCTTTTTTTGCCAAGAATTTCCTCCTTGTTGGTTTGTTGGTTATTTTTTTTAACAGACACTTAGGTCTGGCCTGGGAAGCACATCTCAAAGTGGAAAGGGATTCCTGTCCTCATGTCTCACCTCAAGTTTAATCAAGCACCAATCTGAGA